CATTTGTTACTATAGCTGAATTTGAGAAACAAGTTTACCAGTGAGATCAAGTTTTAAAATTAGTTTTAATGGGCTAAATAACATTAAACATTGGACCTATTGTTGGCCTTGGCTCCAATCCATACACCAACCCGTCAAAATTTTTGCGAATATGTTGAATTTTTTTTGGTACAGTTCGAATCATGATTCCGCAAGCTTCAATATGATACAGCAGTATGTTGTACTTGATTCTGCCAAAAAAAACATGAGAAAAATTTGGTCGAATTACGGATTAGTGTTTGATTTGTGGTCGTAACCTTTTTTTTATTGATATAGACTCGCCAACTTAAATCAGTTAAAATTATTATATTATTGACGTTTGTTTTTCTATTTTTTTTCTCTACTTTGAGGTCTCCCGAAGCCTCCTATCAAATCATTTGTGCGGCACTTTCAACCGTAGTTTACATTATCACCTTCTGGCGAGGCGACGATTCGTCAAAAGCGACAAATGGTAGATGCAACGAACGGTAGAAATTGAAAAAGCGACAATTTGTAGAGGGTGACTATTTGCACCAAGCGACAATTATTAACTACAAAAAACTTTGATCAGAAGCTATTTAAATTCTAACAATAAAACAACGAAGAAATTTTTAACACGTGAACTAGCAATCATAGTTATAAGACAACCTCACAAGTTGCTTTGAAATGGTACTGTTTTGGTAATTTTTAAAAATTTCGACCAATCTTTATTGGATTTTTTCTTTTTTTTGCTATTTTAAAAACACACTCTCCCGCCTGATTTTGAGGAATTTTTGTTCTCGGTCATGCTTGGCTCTTTTTACCTGAAATGAAACAATTTACGAGACAATCTTGTGTTGGTTTCTTTTCAAAAACAAGTTGCTAATTCTCGCGCTAAAAAATGGTGAATTGAAGGTTATTTGGTTCTACTGATTGTTGTTAATTTTTGTTATGCCTACATTTTAATGTCATTTATTGTTCCGACTTTCGATACGAAAGTAACGGAATATTTGTGCTCGGGGTGGGTTTTTGTTTTCTTCAGACAAATTTCGACTTTTTAACTTGCCATTTTTGACGCGAGTTTTTTTATATCATTCGAAAAGTATTGTTGCCCTGAGCTCAAATTTGAAAAGATATTCCACCTGTGATCATTTTTCGTAAAGTTACGGGGGTTTAAAGATTGCCATTTTGGTCAATTTGGGACAATTAACGCGCGATGTATTTCGCGCTATTAACGCGTAAGCGGAGACTTAATCCGTCTTATAAATCGTTCCAAATTGGTTAAAAGAAGCTTATTTGCCATAATTGGCTTGTTACAAGGAGCAAAATCTATACTTTTGTTCTTTATATGGCGTGTGGGGGGGATGATTCTCATTTGCAAGATCCGCTTACAATTAGCGGAATTTGCTTACGTTTGCGGGAAATTTGAAATTTCAGAAATTTTTTTTTCTCATTTTGTTTTATTTCATTGAATTTTTCAATGTTATTACTGCTCCATAAACCTTAAAATGCAGTCAGAACATTCAGGGCTTCGCACTGATACGAGCAGTCTTGTTAGGATATCAATTCCAAAACGTAGCTCTTTTTGTACTTATTGCAGCAGCAACTCTTAATCCCCTTTATTACCATCAATTGTATCAGGAATCTTGCAGGCTGGTATTTAATCCCCTCAAACCAATTGAAAATTTATTAACTGCCGCCTGCTGCAAATCATTGCCTCGAGGGAATTGTCGCTTTTTCAAAAAAGTCTGAATTTTTACTTTTGACCACTTGTCACTTGCGAAAAATTGTCGCCTCACGTCATCTTCTTCAGAGAGCGTTTTTTTGCGATCACTTACTTTTAAATGTGTTTTTTAAGGCGTAAAAGAAAAGGAGTTCGTTTTTTTTATATCTGAAAAATGTTTTCAGTAAATGTCTCGAAATATATTTCAGCTCAATCATTTATCTGAGCGTTTGATGAAGATTGTTTTCGATTTTTGTTTCCATATCTTTTTCTCAATGGAGGGCCTTATAAAGTATTTGATGACAGAAAAACAAACAGCCGAAGAGAGTATTTGAAACTAATTACGGAGAGAGAGGGGGGCGCTTTTGATCGAACTTTGAAAAAGGGAACAACGCCCTCTCCACCAACAAAGTTTTGCGCAAGCTGCTGGCGCGCTGCTGGCTTGCATCCGTTTGTAAAACCAGGCTTGCGCTTTTCCTTAATTTGCATGCTGTTCAATAAAGACTGTGATCAACTTTCCATTCAGAAAAAGACTTTGAAACGATCTTCGAAAAATCTGGCCAAATTTTTCTACTCTGACGGCAAATCTTTATTTTTTCATATTTTGATAAACCTTTTTTTTCACAGAAAAACTTTTTCCAATTTTATTTGAGATATGAAAAGTTTTTTCATAAAATGACAATTGCAATGATAGCATTAGCTTTTACTTGTTATGTGGAACTTTTGAGAGGTGTTCATTGAATTAATTAGCCAGTAAATTACCAGACCAGTAAGTCATTTTATGCGGCAAAAATACTTTAAAGTGTAGCCAATTATTCATTCAGTTGATCAATTGAGATGGGAAATCTTCTCTTATAAAACGTGGACCCACCAAAAAAATCATTTGGTTTCATCTTCACTTGATTTTTGTGCATCTTTTTGTGGCATGTTTGGAAGGTTTTGACATAGAAATTGCGTTTTTTTGGCGCGCTCCTGCTCCTCCCTCAAAATATTTCAGGCAAAAAACTTTTCATGATCAATAATGTTATTCTTGCTTAGAATTGACTGATATTTTGATTACAATTTTAATGTTTAAAAACATCGCGTTACTGCTCTTCAGATCAACAAATTTTTCATATTTTGAAATAGATTACACGATAACGTCTCAAATGGCATAATTCCCGAATGGCATAAAAATGAGAAATTTCCCAAATTACATAATTTCCACGCAACAATAGCAGTGAAAATTATTTTGAGAGATCTTTTTTTAATTAAAAAGGCGTAAAAAATAGTAAAACTGTCAGTTCAATTGTTGTTTGACATTATAAAGAACAATTGTTTAAGAAATCAATTAAGAAAAAGCATAAGTTGTTACTAATTAGTTTTGTGTGATTTTTCCAGCAAAATTGTCGCTAAACATTTGTTTGGAAGCAATAAACTCAAATCTTATTCAAAAATCTTCTCGTTCCTAGAAAAAGGAGAAATATTAGTTGAGAAAGCGTTTGAATGTGATGATAAACTTGAAATTTATGTCATTTGGGAAAAACTCTGTTTTTGTGCAATTTGGAAATTATGCCATTTGGCGACCCATCCAATCATGAAATTGGATTTTTAGGGGATTTTAATCGAAAAAATTCAATATTTAAAAATCCATTAGAAAAGACTATTTTGACAGTATAATCATTTTTGAGGCCATAAAATACAGGAAAATCTTTTTTTTTCTGCAGAAAACTTCTTGCAGCCAATTAAACTCTTGAAAATTTCTTGCAGCCAATTAAACTCTTGCGCAACTACAGCAAAATGACACCTAATTGCTAAAATTCAATAATCTGACAATTTGTTCATCCTTAAAAAACTGAAATTTTTGTCACCCCGTCCTACACCACCCCTCCCCACTCCAAGTTTACCAACCCCAACCCTAATTTATCCCTCCACTTTTTAGCCCACCATCTCCCCTACCGCACCACCTACCCTACCGCCACCACCTCATCTGCATACCCTCCACACACACCCCAGGTTTCGATCCCCCCCACCGCCTGTTCCACACCAAACCCTTCCTCCCGCCACTTCCATCCCCCGCGCCCACTCGCCCTGTTTAACCTCCCCCACCTTCAACCATTAAATACCCGCCTCATTCATGTGAGGGGAGAGGGGTAGTGGGCGAATGGTAATTTTTTACTATGGCGATGATAAAAATAACAACTAAGGAAAATTTTAAACTGTCAAATTGAAAAATTGAAAATCTTATGTGAAAAATTTAACTTAGTGAAGCGTAGTCCGGAGAAAATGCTCTAAACAAGAAGTGAGATAACTTGCAAAACTTGCATAATGGATAAAACTGATATAAATTTTTTTTAATGTTTAGAATCCATTTTCAATGGTTTCTAATCAATTACCTTTGTAGTTTTGTGGATACTGACTATAAAATGAAAATATAATCGATTGTTATCCATGAAATTCCAATGCGAAGCAATTTTTCTTGGATACTAGTGCATTTTGTTTTCTCTTCAAAAAGTCCAAAGTATGTTTCTACTTACTTTCTTTTTTGATATCATAACGATTGACTTTATTTGATGCTTTTTTACAGTCTCCATTATCAAAAGTGGAAATAACCTAAAAAATAGCAACCGATTTTTGGCTGCAGGTTTGCCTAATGTTTATAATTAGCAATGGATATAAAAAAAATGAAGTTACCCATTTTTCTCATTTTTGATTGGCTTATCAAAAAAAGTGTCGGGCGCAAAACTTTCTTGAAATAAGGATCAGGGGCGGATCCAGGATTTTTTCGAGGGGGGGGGGGGGGGGGGGGGCGGATTTTCAAAATTTTTTTTAGGTCGACCAAATTGATTCTCCGAGCTCTTCTAAAGCACTAAAAGGACCCTGTTTTTGCCAAATTTTCTGCGCGCTCCCCTTCAAAGTTAGCATATATTGGCGCCAAAGGCGCCTTTAGAAAAATTTTAGGGTCGGTCGGCAAAAAATGGATTTCTTAAAAAGTACCAAAGGGCGTCCGCCCCCCCCCCCCGCCCCCCCCCCCCCCCTAAATCCGCCCCTGATAAGGATACCTTTGAGATCAATAAGAAAAACTTTCGAATTCCTGATTCTTGAAACCATCACGCTCTAACTTCCTAATATCTATTGTCGATTTCATTCGATCTGGTGTAAAAAAAACTAATATTTTGTTGAACTCTATAACCAGTAAGCGTGGAATCAGGTGTAAATTGCATTGAATGAACATAAAATTTTTTTTAGCTGCATCAATGTGTTGTTTTGAAATGCTCTCAAATCTGCTATTTGCGTGTAGAGACGGAACCATTCGACCGGGAGACCGAATAGTTGCTGTGAACGGATTTGACCTCAGTCAGAGTTCAGTGCCAGAAGTGAATGATCTTCTAATCGAAAGTGGAGGTCAAGCCATGCTCACGGTCGAGTACGACTGCTCCGTCATCGGTGAGCTCATTAGCTGCCAATCAAACGTTTTTCAATAATACTTTTGATATGATGATAAATTGAAAAAACTGAGTCCAGCCCCTTTTTTATGTTTTTGGGAAAAGTTGGCGCCCTTTGCGAGCGCTCCAAATCAAATCCCTGTCCTCAAAATTAGTGTATACTGGCACTCAGGAATATTTTTAGCCCTTGTTTTAAAATTTGTTATTAACAGTAATTTTTTGCCGTGGTTTCAGAGTCAGTGAAGAATGCTCAAGGTGCTCTTCTGGTGGAGTTGGGACCCACTTCCTACTCCCGCCTGGGTCTGTCTCTCTCCTCCTTCCCCTCCCCCCGAGGGGGGCACGTCGTATTCGTAGACGCCATCAGACCAGCATCGGTCGCAGACAGGTCAGACAAATAGACATTCGATTATTCATTGAGTTTTCTTCATAAAAATTGTAGGACAGCTTGATTTTTTGAGAGGGTGGATTTTAGTCCTTTTTCTCAAGTCAACTAATTGAATTTTCCAAGCTCTCTTTAAACACCATAAGTTTTTGTGCAAGGATGGGTGTGAAACAGTTTGGGTAATTTCTGGGAACAGTTTTATTTAATAAATCGTTTTTTTGTACTTGTTAGATAGCAGTGAAGATTGCTTCAAACAGATCATATGACTCGACTGACCAAAATTGATAGCTATGTGCACCAGCGAATTTGGGGGTGTGGGGGGGGGGGGTGTTGAGAGGACGCTTCTTTTCCTCCTCAGGGACTCCATCCCCTGCCAACCAAAAGGGCCCCCCTTTGTACTATTTTGAGATATCCATTTTTGGCTGACTGACCGTAAAACTTTTCTAAAATTTTGAGAGGGGAGCGCGCGCCGAACAAACGGATTTTTTTTGTCAAAATTGGCCTGTTTTTTCAATACTTGCCTAAGGCACAGAAAATTTTGTCAGAATGAGGCCTTTATATGGATTTGGGAGAGCTCAGAAAATCAATTCGGTCGACCTAAAAAAAAAGTCGAGATAATTTTCGAACTTTTTTTGGAAAATCCGCCATATTCGAGAAAATCGTAGATCCGCCCCTGCCTCTGTGGATGTGAGACTGGATGTGACCCTTCCGTAGAATAACTATTGTTTTCATTTATATAGTTGTGGCTGTGCATAATCAAATTGAACCCAATTGTTTTTTCCTTTTAGGTTGTAGGGGGTTTAGTTCCCTTAACGATTTGTTCTTTTTAGACATGTATTTAATCAGCTATTGCGCTAATAGATCTTAAAATTTCTCAAGAAGTCAGCAGGCTTGCATTCTTCAATTTTTTTGGTATTTTTTAATCAAAAGATATGCATGAACATCATTTTCTTAACTGTTTTTTGAGCCGATGATTTTAAACTGTTTTTTAAAGTGCAGATCATCTCATTTATGCACAGTTTTGCGAGTTCACAGGCATAGTTTGGAATTCAACCAGACTAATTTAAGGTGGCAGAGGTTCAAAATATTCAAGGCAATTATTGGTTTTTCTCCCAGACAGTGACATTTTCCAATTTCCTTTCCTCACGACTTTTAATTTGATTCAATTAACGATACATTTCTTTTCCTGTCATGAATTTATTAATGGAGAATATATTTGTGGAGTTAAATATCCCCACAACCTGTTTTTTTTGTTTGTTTTGACTCGAACTTGCAAATTTTCAATTACGTTGTTTTTTGTGCTCTTTTTTTCATTAGGCTGATTTTTTATGCGATATTTTTTGTCAAATACTCAATCCCTGTAATGTAGAATTGATCAAGGGTTTCTATGGAAAATGGATTTGTCTTGTTTTGATAGCCTGTCATTTTCTGAATGAGTACGGTGTAATAATCCCCCACTTATGCGAGATTGATCTGATTTTTTGACCGACCATCAATGCAGTTCAATTAGGTCTCAGGTTGTATTTATACCGCAATCGGACCAAATACACATCGTTGTACAGCTACACCGTTTACTAAAAAAAAAGGCACTTCTGGAGTTTTTTGGTTTGCCTTTTTACCAATCAATTATGCCCCATTTTTTATGACAGTCTTGCCTATACTGACCATTTCTATTCATCAGTGAACACAAAAGAAATCACAGTTTGAAAAGTGTCGTAAAAAGCACCTTCAATGGAGAACATTTCTTTTCTATCTCATAAAAACGCAGCCATTTCCTTTAGGGCATTGCATTAATAAACAATCGAGTACAAAGACGTCAAATTTAAAAAGATGAAATAGCTCGAAATTTTTTGTGCCTCTAAATATTTGAATGTTTGAGCTGTACATTGGCGGTATTATGCAATATTGGTGACATGTTGCGTAATTCAGATGTGGAGCTCTGCACGTTGGAGATCAAATCCTGTCTGTCAACGGCATGGAAGTTTCCGGGCTGCCAATTAGTCAAATCATTTCACTCATCGAAATGTCTTCGCATAATCAACAAGCCCTGATGAGGACGACTAAAAGTGTGAACGAGTTTGGCGCAGTAGTGCGAGACAACAGGAACCCTCAGAATTCTGAATTTATGACCAGAATCGAGATTTTACCATCTAGATATGCTCGTAGGTGGAATGGTAAGTTAAAAAAACACCTTCAAATAAATATTTATGGCCTCATGATATGCAATAAACCAAAAAAATATAATAGCTGAATTTACGAAATCTCCAGCTAAAATAGCCATAAATATTTTATGGTCTTATTAATGGTTTTCCATTACTTCTTATCATTTGTAGCAACCCAAGCCTTTTTTTAATTGAGTTTTAATAAATTTTCAATTTTCTTTGTGACCTCCTGTTTCCTCCAATAAGAGTCAGGAAAACAAAACGGCTGACTAAATACGACGACAAAATCATTAACTTTCCTTTGATTTATATGGTATCATAGCTTCAGATCTTCTGCAAGTTAGTGAGTAAATTTTGATTTTTAATAGTTAAAATTTATGAAAAAAAGAACTCATAACAAAAACAAAAATCAAGAATGATTTTTTTCTGTACATTGCGTTTTTTAATGATATTTTTTGACTGTTCTAAAGTTCACTTCTGAACCTTTTATTTGTATAGCTTAATACACGGTTTAAAGTCTCTTCTCGAGAGCTGTTATTACTCGGATTGGGTAAAAAGGCGAAAAGAAATCGAAACTATTTTTTTACTCTGAGAAAACCTTTTGAAAAGTTTAGAATCACAACTTATAAAGTTTATTTAGGATATATCATTCGATCTTATATAATGATTATTTTTTGTTCCTAATTTTGAGCGAAGTAAAATAAAAAAACTTAAAAGCTCCCAAATACAAAGTTCCCCTCGACCCTTCCAGTGGTCATAACAAAAGCTTATTCTAATAATGAATAAGATAAAACGAATGTTTGACTTTGTAATAGGGATATCAAAAGCTTGAATTTTTTAAGTACATTGTTCTGACAACCCAAAGTGTCAAAAATAGTGTTTGTGCATGTTTTCCAACTTGTTTGTAAATTCAAATTTACTTATATTACAGTTATAAAAAAGTGTGAATTTTCGTGTCTCTTTTTTTTTTGTAACCGCTTTCTTCCTATGATCCGCGCCTGATTTATTAGCGAGTGAGAAAATAATTTAAATTATTCGTCTTCACCAAACAAACTCGATGTGATGTAAACACCCAATCAAACTTATAATGGAGTTTTGTTTTCAAAATGTGTTTCGATAAAGTTAATGGCTCAGCCACCGGCTATTTTAGCGCCAATTAGCAAATTGAAGAATTTTTTATTGTCTAACGGTTGTTTTGTTTTTTTTAAAGATTTTTTTGAAATTTTTTCACGCTAAATTTTGAAAATTGGATTGTAAAATTAAGCTTTTGAAGCGCAAAAAAACTAGTGCTACAGTTTCTGTAAAATGACTTCCCAAAATTTTATTCGATGATACTTGGAGAAAAATTACTGAAATCGTTTCGAGTTCCTTGAATTGATTGACACTTTTGCTGGCTATGCGAAAAAACTTTGCTTAACAGGCTTAAAAATTTTAATACCATCGAAGGTTTGTTAGATAACAAAATAGCTTAGATGTTACTTGATGAGATTAGTTTTTCAAACATCTTTTTGTGAGGGGATTGGAAAAAACTTCGCGTAGTTTCTGTTTTAAAAACTGGTCAGTGTCAAAAATTCAGTCTGGTCTAATTATTTTTGTAAATCAGACTGGACTTTATTAGACAACTTATAAATAAAGTCTGGCCTCCGTATTTTTTTTCGTGCAAATTTAATGTTATAGTCGTTTTGTTTTGTCACTCGGCAGTACTAGCTCGCTCAATTAAATTTTCGGAAATGTTTTCTTTTTATTTTTATATTTTTATTTCTTCAAATAACAGCTAAATCATTGTGATCAAGTTGTTTGATCTTTCTGTCCTACTGGTTCAGCAACAAGTTACTACTACTCTGTTGTTTGAATTACTGAAAAAAGGCGTTCTGTGTGGCATTTAAAAGCTCTTTTAGTCTTATATCGATCCTAAAATGTTTGGGTCGAAAAAAAATGGTTTTGAAAATTGTGCTTTGTGGTCTAATTTCAAGCTGCATTTGGCTGACAGTAAGGCTTTTAAAAATCTTGTGATAGCTCAAATGTTTTTTCAGCTATAAAACTAGTTTTTGACCTTCACTCATTGCTCTCTTGACAAAGAACTATTTTTCAATTTCAGAGGAAGCTGTAGTCGAATATTTTTAATATGCTTTTGTTACAACTTTTCTATTTGCTTATATCACATCATGCTTAAAAATAACTCAAATTGAAAAAAATATATATTCAATTTTTTATTAGCAAAATTTTCGGAATTTTCTGGGCTACTTGGACAGCAGCCGTCTATTAAATTTCTTTTTTGTCTTCAAACATTCGAGACCGAGTTAAATACTTTTTCCAAAATAGATTCAAAATAATTGATCATGTTCAGACAATTTCGGGACTCATCTAGATTTCAAGTTTTTTTTCAAAATTGGTCCTAAATTAAGTCTCGAACCTATTCAGTTAACAAAGTTATTCAATGCGGTGGAATCATTACAAATTATTTTAAACAGGATTTCAATTATTAAGGTTTAGTTTTTTTTGTTCTGACTATCGAATAAAAAAATCAGAACTGATATTAAGCATTGATTATAGCATTACTTTTTCAGATTTTTGAGATTGAAAGAGGCCTTCAATTTGAATTTGAATCTTTATAAAATGTTTTAAGTTGTTTCGTTGGTTTTCCTTTAATATTAAGTAAATCAAATGCTAGTCACAGATCACATGGACAATCAATCAATTAAGTTTCATTTACAGAACTTCCACATCATTTACTTTTTCTACCGCGACAAAAAAATTATTTCCTGATACAGCGCTCTAAATCAGGGTTGAAAGGTGTTTTCATGATTTATGCTTCAACCTCGATAGTACTCGACTTTTGTTACTAGCATCTGTTTTTGCTTATAACATATAGGAACCATAAAATCGTTATGCTTTTGTAAGTTGTCGTTATGCTTTTGTAAGTGTAGCAAAGTTTGTATGTTTGCTATAATCAATACTTAATATATGTTCTGATTTTTTTACTCGATAGTTAGAACAAAAGAACAGAAGTTTCATTTTTCTAACTTAATTTTTCAACTCGTTATTTGATTAAGAGTAATGAACGTAGTGAAGACTTTTAAATGGGTCTTCCCGATTTTTTCCGTTTTTTTTGTCAGGAAAACGTCTCTTAATGTGCATAAAAGTCTCAAAAATCACAGATGTGTAGCCATACATATTGATGCATTTATGATTGCTTTTAGATATATATGCACTTTTTGAGTTCAATTGAAATTTATCTGCTGATGATGTAAAAAGCACTCTCGAAATACGAACTTGGAAATGACGATATCTAGTTTCGAAAGTGGAATAAAATTTTTAGATTTCCAGCGGAATAAAAAATTTACCTGTTGATCCAGTTTTCTCAAGATGGGTTAATATTATCAAAAAAGTGCCAGTCCAAAATCGTTCTGAAATTCAAAGAGCTTAAAGGGCATCTATTTTTTTCTTTGAAAGTCAGTGCTGTATGGTGACTTGCGTTCATTACTCTTTTCCAATCTTCCCTTGGCTCTCTTAAAAGAGTTTTGTTCAATACTGAAAAATAGAAAAATAGTTCTGGTTGCTTTTATGGTTTCGTGACCTCTGCAGCTCTATTTGTTCAGACCACTGAAACCACGAGTTTCAATTTTTTTATTATTTTACCCTCACAAAATTAGATACCACAAACAATTAGCAGTACGGGTTGAGTGATACATCACATCAAGGCCTTTCAAATCGTAATTCGAATGATATTAACAGCAGGCTGGTTATAACAGCAACCATATTGCCCTTGCAACTATACAACCTTGACTTTTCGACAACAAAATTTTCATGAAAGTCTCATGTTGGGTCATTCAAAAAAAAGAACAAGGATGTATCGGAAAGAATTGCATTTCTTGTTTCAGCCAGTCGCTAACCAGTTCAAATAGTAATAGTAATTGTAAAGCTCTGATTTGTCGTAAAAGCAGCGCATTCGAAATGGGTCAGCAGTCGTCTGTACTCGACTGACCCTGCAAGCATGCCTCAAATGCCAGCAGATAGATGCAGTCGTGTGAACAACCCATCAGATGATTTACACTTTCAACAAGTTATGGGCGCTTATACAGTTGATCTCGGCTCCAACTTCGGAAGAGAAAGTTGGTTTTCACGTGTCACACCCTGTCCGTGTCAAACACCCAGTATCATTTATAAGATTGACTCGTTCATAAGAAACACAAAATGGCCAATGAAACTCTTTGGATTCCTTCAAGCCTCAAATTACTTTCACTTTATAAACATAACTTTTGGAAAATGGTGTAAAATGTATGAAATCGGCAAGAAGCCTCATGTTTTATTTTTTTTTGCTCCAGAACAGTCATTTAGATGCGTTATGACAAACCGAGTCTTTTTATCTCCAGTGATTGTTTTCTATTCAATTTAAAATTGACTACCGTATTTCGAAAAGCTTAAAACATACTTCAGAGTAAAAGTTTCATTGAACTTCTTTTTGTTGTTGTTAAAATTAACCCATAAATAGGGTGGTCAAAACTTACATTCATGGGTGTAGTTATCATATTCAGCATTTTTGTTGCACTTTTTCTCATGATTTTCCCCAACATCCGCACATAAACGCAGCTTTTCTTTTTCTTAGACTTGAAAGGCCTATTATGGGCCTAGGAAATTAGACGGCAAGCAAATTACCTGGGTTGACCAAAGCTTCTTATAAATTTTCCAAAAAAGAAAAACTTCTTGTCTTACAGTTCCATATAATTCCGTACGTACAGAAAATTCTATGAAATCTCTATGATAAGCATTTTTCCATATGAGAGTTGAAAAACAAGTATTTTTCCATAAACCAAAAAGTTGATTTTTTTCTTATTTAATTTCTAAAAAATTTTGGGTTGTGTTCGTAACCGAACGCAACTGACAAAGACCTTGGTTTACTCAAAGCACTAAAAGTTGGACGGTCTTGCATTTACAATACAATGAAAACGACCAGAATTGTCATAGACCTGTCTTTCACAAATGATATAACGAAAGTAACAAACTTGTGATTT